GCGTACTTGAAACTGGGTGAGAATATCGACCTTCTCTCTTCTATTTTGTAATTGATTCCCTGGTAAAGATTCCCAAAGCAAGAAATCACCTGAAAGTGAGGGAGCGGACTAAATCCTCGCCCCTCCATAGACGGAAGCGGTGAATTAACTTCTAAGGGAAAAAGAAATATACTGACATGAAATTAATAACATTATAGTCTGGATAAATCTGAAAATTAAGTAAACCGTTAAGATTTTACACCTAAAGAGTTTTGATGAAATTATAAAAAGAAAATAATTTGTTTGAAAAAGTTGGAAAATAAATAACTACTGACATCTAGTGGAGAATCAGAGCATAGAAAACAGCAACTCTGATTCAGATATTGTGAAGATGCCCAGAAACAAAGAATAATGTGTTCCCTTGAACTTTAATAATCTTCAGCCAAATAGAAAATAGCTGGGAACAAAGAAAGAAAACATACTGGGCCATCTATAAGCTTTAAAAATGTCTGCAAAAAGAAAATTTTAACTGTTGTCTAAGCTCAAGAATTTTGCAAACTCAAGTTTGCAGAAAAAGAAAAACGTTGATTCTTGACTAATTTTCTAGGGGGAAATTTACTAGAAGGCTTCAAGGTGGTTAAATAGTCTGGATTGCAACTCTGATTGTTGATAATTGACCCCTGAATAGAAGATTTTTTATAAAATATTGCTTTCACTGATGCCCTGACAATTAAAAACACATTGGATTACAAAAACCATATATAAAGATAAGAACTATATAAGATTTGGTTGTTTGGATTTTGACATTGGCTGGTTTGATAAAGCTAATTACAGAGACTATGGTACTGGTGAAAGACTATTTGGAGGGAAAAGATGAAATGGATATTGCATATTTATCTAAAAGGGACAAGAAACCACACCTAATATTCCCTTCTGAAAGATGTAGCCTGGAACATCAGAGATCGGCAGGAGTAATACTTCAAGACAAGTACTTTTCAGGAGGAAATGTACACAATGCTACGACAGATTCAAATGACAATAGTTTCAAACCACGATGAGATCAAAAATAACTTTGATGATATAAATAAGCACATCTTCAATCGAAACTTACAATTAAAAAACTCTCCGAAAACGACGATAAAGAATGAACAAACAAATCAAATAACAGAACATAAACTAGAAGAAAGTGACTTAAACAGGGAAGCCACAAATGAAGAGAAGTACAACTTAACACAAACAGAAAAAAAATCTACAAGATTTTACAACAATGAAAATGGAAAAGATATTTTATCCATCAGGACTTCAAAACAAATTTGAGGATAAGAAAGACGATTTAACAAAATGGATTATAGAGCTGCCAGGAAAATTATCAGTCTGGGAGACAAAAAGCGTACATCCTACTCAACTTGTCCTTCTCACTCCCAACAACACTTACAAAAATACAGGAACTTCCTGGCAAGCAGAATATACTAACTTGGAAAGTTATTTGGCAAAAGAAGGCTAGAGTTAGACTCTAGGAAATATCATGATTCCATACAATATTTAGTAGCTTGGAAGCACCTGCCTCCATCCCAGAATGAATGGGTCCATAAATGCATCGGAGCACCTAGATTACTTGATTCCTTGCAATGTATCCTGATAAACCAGACTAATTCCTATCTTTCTTTGTGTTTTTCTACAGATGAATCTCTCATTTTTAAGGGTGGCAATAGGTCAGAACTGTTTCTTTGCTGGGGGGGGACTTTTGCTGGTTGCATCTTTTCTTTTTCCATTCTGCAGGTTCTGCCATAGTCCTGGGGGGGAGGGGGGAGCCTGTTGGGGAATTGCAATGTATTTTCTTCCTTTCATCTAGCTGCTACAATGTATTTTCTCCGCTTCCTCTATCTCCTTGCTCTTTGAACTGTTTCCCCCTTGTTACCAGCCTGGGGTGAGAAAGGAATGTGCCTCTGGCCATCTGGCTTATCTCTTGCTGCGGAAAGGAAGGTGCGAAGACCCAACAACATTTTCACAGGCTTGGGAACGGCGTCTTATCAACTCCATTCCCACAGTGGACTTAACACCTCTGGATTGGCCCATTTGAACTGACCGGACAACTCTTGGGGTGGGGTTTGCTTCTTATTCCTTTAACCTATTGATCTGAGCGGGAAATCCTCAGATTCTGCCTTTTATGCCTGCTGTCAGCTTCTCCTAATAAAAGTTCCTTTTGGGATGAATCTGTCCCAAGAGTTCTGCTTTCTTGGGAAGAGGTTTTGAAGCAGGTTCTTACACTTAAAGAGATCTGATTTGACTTACCAGATAGAGTACTACATGATTAAACATTTGTTTGCATATAGTTAAAAGAATAGATAATTTTGGATATAAAGGGGCCCTATAGTAAGAGGGATAAGAGATATAACTAGTATAGTATTTTTTACAATATATGAAATGTTAAAATACTGGGATGATGTATGTGAATGGAAAGTTTGGACATTTAAAGATAATTAATTTTGAGAGAATTATGACCGAGAAGAAGCTTAAATAAGAATTTTGAAAACAGGACATATAGTGACTTAACAAGATGACTTTTATAAATATAGTTGAAATATAAGCCATTCAGAAAAGATGTTATATGTGGATGTTATAGGATATATTATAGTATTTTTATAATATATGAAATATGAAAATATTGGGATGGTGTATGTAAATGAAAAGTTTGGATATTTAGGTAATCAACTTTGCGAAAACTATGGCTGATAAGAATAGTTTGAATACTGAGGGGAAATTAAGTTTAAATAAGAATTTTGAAAACAGGACACATAGTGACCTAATAAGATGACTTTTACAAATAAAATTGAAATATAAGTTAATTAGAAAAGATGTTATATATGGATGTCGTTATTTGTACAACCACAAAAAATGTTTACATCCAACCTTGTATGCATTGAAAATATTAAGAATTATATTTATCTAATGTTGACAAAGGAGAATACTATTGGAAGAAGGGAAGATCAAGGAAACATACTACTAATTTAATATATTGATCATGGAATTATAGAGATTAATCATTGTTTTTTCAAATATATGAACTCAGACAACACGCTGTTTACTAAGCACTAAAGATTTTTATTGTAAAAAATCAATAAAATATATTTAAAAAAAAAAAGAATGGAAGGGAAGAGAGGACTGTTAGAACAATCTGCAAAAAAAAAAAAAAAAAAGGAATTACACCAGATTTGTTTCAGTAGATATTTGAAGAACTGGGTAATAAATTAGCTGAATCACTTGATAGTATTTGTAAAGATGAAAGAGGAGTTGAAAGAAGTAGTTAAGAAGAGGGAAAGCTCTGAAAAAGAAGTGCCTGGAGAGGTAAAATAAGTTAATGACAAAGTAGAATTTTTAAGAGAATAACAGAGTGTTGATAACTAAATAATCTAGTTCTATTGAAATTAAGACAGAAGGAATTTGTTTGAGACTTAGAGCAATCCCAAAGGATTCTCATGAAGACATTAGAAAAAAGTTTAGTAAAGCCTAAAGCCTTGGAATTTTTTTGGATTGGAAAGAGGAGGATATATGAAATTGATAAAGTATTTAGAATAAATTCCAGATTTGTGAGAACACGAAACGTTCCAAGGGGTGTTTTGATGCACTGACAGGAAGAAGAGCTCAAGTTTTACAGCTGCCTTTTAATACAAGATGGAAAATTGATAATACACAGATAATTGTTCTTAAAGAAATTCTTAAGAGTTTTTCATAAAAGAAGAGTTCAGATTTTTTTTTTTTGGCTGAGATATTAAAGCAGAAAAAGATCTCATTCCAATGGGACAAAGTATAAAGTGTAATCTTGACTGAGCTTTGTTCAGAAGGAAAAGCAATTTCTAGGAAATTTCAAAAAGAGATTGGAGATCCAAATAGAGGTATCAATGGAGGCTATAGGTAGTACTTGACTTATATCAGTTCATTTAGTGACTGAAGTAACAACGGCACTGAAAAAAGTGACCGATGACCATTTTTCAGATGACCATTGCAGCATCCCCATAGTCACGGGATCAAAATTCAAATGCTTGGCAACTGACACCTATTTATGATGGTTGCAGTGTCTCAGGGATCAGGTGATTGATCACCTTTTGTGACCTTCTGACAAAGTCAATGGGGTGCCCAGATTCACTTAACCATGTTACTAACTTAATAACTGTGGTGATTCACTGATAACTGTGGCAGAAAAGGTTATAAAATGGAGCAAAATACACTTACGAAATGTCTCATTTAGCAACAAAAATTTTAGGCTCAGTTGTGATTGTAAATTGAGAACTACCTGTACAGAAAACGTCCAACAGGTATGATAAGAAACTGAAAAGGATGATACTGAACTAAGTGCTACAGTATCCATTTTTTAATATGTTTCGCTTGATAATGGATTATAAATACTTAACATGGAATATAAATGGAGCCAATGCTTCTGAAATGTGTAATGGAATGTGGGAACAAGCAATGCTGTCCAGGGAATCAATCATAAAAAAGAAGCAGGAGCCCTCCCCCCCCCTGAATCGTCAAAGAAAGAATCTTAGAAAGGGCTCGCCCTAATGCATCAAGCAGTTGAAAGTGGCAGCAGACTTTCAGACTTGCAAGATTCATGGTAGCCCTCCTAGGTAAAACAAATAGGAAATATAATTAGATGAGCTAAATCTACTTTACTATAAGACTATCTTAACAGAATCAAGTCACCTGGGTGACGTAGAAATTTGAGAAATAAAAAAAAATGGTAAATTTGTTGGCAGTGGATGAAAATTAATTTCCACGGGATTAAAACACCGACACTGGAAAATTATGCCCCAAACGAAGAAAAAGTTTTTTTTTAAATAAAGGAGAGGATTCTTTTCTATGAAAATTGATGAACGATGGGGGGACTGGAATGGAGTGATCTCTCCACAACTGGATAGAATTTCTGAGAAAAACATTAAAATCACTCAAGACAAAATTACCAGAAGTTTTGTTTGATTTGATGGACAATTTAGGACTCATTAATACAGGGAGACAGAAAAATGGTTATTCCACAGCGTTTACTTGCTTTCCTGAAAGATACAGATTTTTTTCAAGAGTAGACATTTGGATTTCAAAGAATTTGGCCACTAAGTTTCCAAAGTAGAGATATTACCAATATCTTTTGAGTCATAATCCTGTGGGTTTGATGTATTAAAAGAAAATCTTAATTCTTTTAGATGGAGACTGAATGCAACATGGTTACATAAAGAAGCAATAGTGGATTATAAAAAGAGTTTTTGAAAATAATTTAGGTAAAGGCACTGATTTAAGAATGGTCTGGCATGCAAGTAAATCTTTTATTAAAAGTTTTTTATATAACATAATAGTGAACTACAAGCTAGTCTGGATGAAATAAAAAGAACTAAAAAAGTATCCAGAGAACATAAACATTTCTCAATAAATTAAGCTTCTACAACAGCTATTATATTTATTAAGAGAAATGGAAATAAAAATGAATTATAGAAAATTAAAAAATGGATTTGCAAATAAACCAGGGAAGTGGCTAGCATATAAAGTACAAAAAGAAAAAAGAAAAATGGTATTGAAATTATAATAGGGAGATACTGTATTAATAGACAGTATGGCAATACAAGAGCATTCCATCAATATTATTCCAATTTATATAAGGAAATGACATCTCATCAGAGAATATAAATAAATACCTAAAGAAACAAAATTTACAGAGGATTACAGAGGAACAAGGATAGAGTATAAAGGGACCTACAACAAAAGGGAAGCTTCTGAAGCAATAAAAAGAAATTAAGATTAATTGAGAAAGGTACCTGGACCAGATGGATTATTAAGTTCTTGTTACAATGTTTTGAGGATAAACTTTACAACCTTTCAAAACAAGATGAATTCTATCTTCTGGGGAAAAAAGTGCCGGAGAGTTGAATACAGAATAAGCTGCAGTTATTTCAATAGAGAAAACATCAAACTCCATATCATGTAATACAGTAAATCTTATCTTAGAAATACTGTAAAACACTGTATAATTATAATATTTATCCTATTCAGCCTCTGGGCCAGGTTTAAAACTAGGTAAAAGCTTGTAGGGTCATTGTAGAATGTAATTATAACATTTTATATAACAATCAGCTGCAATTCATTTACTGCAAATTGTATTTATTTCTCTTGCACAATTATTTTCCAATGTGAAAAGTCTTCAAGTGAACTCATCTCAGGAAAATAGTTTAATACCACCCGCACACACACCCAATTAGGATTAACAAATGCCTCTCACAATAAGTTGTTTCTTGAAATAATCTGCATTATTTAGCTTCAAACTTTGCCTTGAAGATGCATACTAAATGTTTACCTCAAACTTCCTTTAAAAACAAGGATTTCTAAATCCTTATTGCAGCTTAATTTTCAGGAGCTTGGGAAAAATATTATCTTTACTTCGTTGGTTCTTGCTTTTCACTTACAATATCTGCATACTTATGGAAAACGTCTTCTCCTTGGCCAGGCAAATTCTTTTTAGATGAATAAAGCACATTAGGGAATAGCCCAATGCAACATATATGAACTTTTTCAGAACTGTTTTTCCAAGGACTGATGAATTAATCATCTTTTAATTTAAAATATATCTATTTGTGACCATCAGAACGTTTGTCTGAAAAGTTTATTTGAAACTTTCTGAACACTTAAAGCAATATTGCTTTAGATATTCTGAAAGTGTCTAGAGAGAACTAAACAAAATCAAACTGTTATAAATTACAAGTTTTTGCTTTTGAAAGAGCTCAAGTGAACAGAAAACATGAAACACGTACTGCAAGGAAATCCCCAACATTTCATGCAAGAGCAGGCAAGATGTTATAAAAGCCACCTAAATTCACATATTTATACACTGAATCATCAGAAAAAAAAGTATTGTTTAGTAAATCTGTACATCCAAATACATTTGGGAGCTACATCTAAGTTACATCATTTAATGTTTCATACACTCGTTACCCCTTTTAAATCATCAAGTAAACATTCCAAACTGGGGGTGGGCTGGTAGAAAAAAGAAAGAAAGAAAGAAAGAAAGAAAGAAAGAAAGAAAGAAAGAAAGAAAGAAAGAAAGAAAGAAAGAAAGAAAGAAAGAAAGATCAGTGTAGACATTCAATTTTTTGTTTTTAAATCTAGACCTCCGTGTGTTGAACGCTTCATCTTCGTATATTTGCTTCCTGACATATAAAAACCGCAGTGCAGAAAACTCCATTTTTATTATTAGTTCAGTTTCTTTGGATGGGTCTCAGGTATAGTTCAGCGTACTTTTTGTAATGAACAAGTGGAAACTTGGTCCTATTAAACTGAGAATGCATGCAAATATTTGACTTTTTTAAAAAAACAAAAAAAACAAATGCATGTATATTTTATAATAGGTAACATTGCAAATTATTCAGGTAGCACCCATATTTTCTTTGCCCTGTCAAATAACACCAAAGCTGAAGGGAAGAAATCTTTCCAGAACGATTTTTTTTTGTACCAATAACTTACTAGAAACCTCTAAGAGCCATCTGTTTCACTTTCTTTAGAACTGAATGGAACAAATAGTTAAATACAGTTTGTCCTCTTCATTGAAGAGAGCTAGTCTATTCATCTTTATGAGCTAATTTTGGGAAGATAGACATGTACTGTGGAAAAACCTACTGAATATAATCCACACATTTGCCGAGAACATTTGGAAAAAGTCAGTAAGAACCTAGGATCAATGAAAACGGATGTTGCTTTAAATGATCCACAAGAGAAGAGACCCACAGAGTGCCCAGTGCCACGCACACAATTTTTTTCCTGCGCTTTTTTTTTTGGTGTGCAAGTTATATACTCTTTTCCCACCCCACACCCTAAAAGGTTAACTGTTCCAATTTTCAGTTCTTTTAGTCAATTTTCACATTCGTGTAGATTTTTCGAACAAAGGCACTTGTTCCCATATAGCCAATTGCTCCTGCAAAAAAAAA